TGGTTGCAGCCATCATTGTTGTTTGGCGGGCCCAGGCTGGATTTGAACCCACCACCTTAGGTGTATGTGGCTGGCACCCTAGCCACTTGAGCCACAGGTGCTGAGCCGACATACTACATTTTATTCTTTCATCAATTGGTGAACATTTGGGTACTTTTGACTTTTATGAATGATCCTTTTATAAACAGTTGTATACAAGGTGTCAGGAGGACATTTATTTTAATTCTTGTTGGGTGGAATTGCTCTGTCATATGGTAACTTCGTGTTTAGCTTTTTTAGGAACTATGATCTGCTTCACTTAGTGGCTGAACCAGCTCACGTTCCCACTCGTAATGAATGAGGGGTCTATCTAATTTCTCCACAAAGTCTTGTCCTTTCCATCACAGCCATTCTAGAGGAGGTGTGAATTGGTATCTTGTGGTTGTGAATAATGATGTTGAGCATCTTTTCATATGTTTATTGGCTATTAGTTTATCTTCTTTGGAGAAATGTCTGTTCAAATTCTTTACTTATTTTTAATGAGGTTATCTTTTTACTGTTGAGTTCTAAGTGTTCTTTTTGTATTGTGTGCATCTATTTCTTAGATATGTGATTTGCAAATATTATTTTCCATTGTGCTGCGTTTTCACTTTCTTGATGGTGTTCTTTGGAGCACAAAAATTTTTGATTTTGGTGAAGTTCAATTTATCTATTTTTAAAAATCTTTTATCACCTATGTTTATGAGTTGGTCTAAAAAAATCATTGCCTAACCAAGTATCACAAAGATTTACTCCTGTGTTTTCTTCAAAGAGTATTTGTTTTTGAGACAGAGAGTCTTACTATGTCGCCCTCAGTAGAGTGCTGTGGCATCCCAGCTCACAGTGCCTGGCTGTTTTTTTGTTATTGTTTTTTCAGGCCCTGGCCAGTTTTGAACCCAGCAGCCCTGGTACATGTGGCTGGCACCCTAAACACTGAGCTACGAGAGCCAACCCCTTCAAAGAGCATTATAGGTTTATTTCTTGCTTTTGGTCTGTGATCATTTTGAGTTTTATATATGGTGTGAGGTAGGGGTCCAATTTCATTCTTTTGCATGTGGATGTCTGGTTGTCTCTGCCTTGTTTGTTGAAAAGACTGTCTTTTCTTCACCAAATGGTCTTGTTGAAAATCAATTAATCTTCGATAAATGGGTGTATTTCTAGAATCTCAATTCTGTTCTGTTGATTTACATATCTGTCCTTGTGCCAGTACTAGACTGTCTTAATGGTTATACATTTATAGGTATTTTTCCTTTTTAGTGTTGTCTATTATAAGACCAAAGAAAAGAAAAAAGCTTGAGTGTGATTTTTTTATTTTATTTTTTTTAGATTTTGCTGAACCATTGACCATGCCTGGTTATGGAGGAGCAGCTTCTGCTGGAGCTTCATTTTTTGGTGCTACTGGATTGGATAACCAGCCTCCAGAGGAAATTGTAGCTATCATCACCTCCATGGGATTCCAGCGAAATCAGGCCATTCAGGCACTACGGGCAACGGTGAGCGTGAGACTGTGTGCCTGTGAACGCCCTTCTCTGGTGGGAGGTTGTTCGTATTTCTGTTAGTAACAAATGAGACCTTCCAGTGTCCTTTGATCATTTGGAATCATGTTTGTCTGACTCTGTACTCCTCTCTGGCCCACAGAGATTTATTTGTATATAGTATATGTGAAGCCAAAAGAAATAATTGAGGGAGGGAATCATATAGATAGAGATTATTTCAGAATATGGAGATAAGAAAGCTGGGGTAACAGGCTGACATTGAAAGGAGCTTTGTAACCTCTTCACTGTTTGTTAACAGGGGGTCACAGGTTCGATGGGGAGCTTGCTTTTAGCCCTAGAGCAGTGGTTCTCAACCTGTGGGTCACAACACCTTTGTAACAATGAAAACACATCCTCCATATCAGATATTTACATTACGATTCATAACAGTAGCAAAATTACAGTTATGAAGTAGCAAGAAAAATAATTTTATGGTTGGGGGTCACCACAACATGAGGAACTGTATTAAAGGGTTGCAGCATTAGGAGGCATTAGGAAGGTTGGGAACCACTGTCCTAGAGAAAGGAGGGGTGCATGAGATTCTGTATTCTTATAATAAGAAAGTTCTTTAAGAGAAGAAATGCTTTTCTGATACTGACACCTTGGAGAAATGTTTCTGAAAAGTCCCCATAGAAGACTGAATGGCTGTTTGAATTCTCTGCTCCTGTTTCTCTCTGCGGCAGGAGAGGGTTCTAACAGTCATGAACTTGCTGATGTTATCAGGAGGGATGGGATCCTGAAACTGCAATGTAGACATCTTCCTCCTGCAGCGCAGATACCTGTTTTTATTCTTGTTTAAAAATTTTATTGTCAATGATGGCAGGTGAAGAAATTTTGGGTAAATGAAGATAGGAAACTTAGGATTTTTTATTTTTTTGTTTTCTTTTAATTTTTTTCAGATACTTATTTAATATTAAGGGAAAGTACTTCCTTAAACAAAAATAACCTATCCTTCCTTACCACTCCATAGTCCATTTTTGAGTGGATGTCTGCCACTGATGATTGTTTGCCTAACTTCCCTGGTGTTTTTTTTTGCAGACAGTGGCTCTTGATTGTCCCATAGGAATGTGGCTGGAATGTTTAAAATGCTTAAAGTATCTCCACCAGAGTTTTTTTGGGGGGGGTACTTATTTTGTGCCCTGTTTATCTTACTTATCTGATGTCGCATCTAAACCATACCTGAACTTATTCTTTAGTCTGCCAGAGATATCATGAACAGGGGAAGATGGAAATATACTTATGGTCAATTAGTTTGAACTCTGTGGGATTCAGTTTAAAACAATTGCACTTAACTCACCAGGGCTGTCATCGTCAATCAAAGCATTGTGTCTCTACTGTGGTCCAGCCGCTCTACCAAGATTCAGGGAGAGGAGGCTCTAACATAGTCCTCATATTCTCATCCCTCTGACTTGCAGAGTTATCTGCGGAAAATGTGGTTGGTAGAGAAAGCAGTGTGTGCAATTAGTGTGACGTTAGGCCCACCCTTTGGCATTCTGCACCCGTCATTATTAGCATCTACCTACGAAATGCTGAGCTAAGACTGATACGGGCTTTGGAGTGCTGACCTGCTGCTCAGAACTATTTCCCTGTGAATTACAGACCTCAGCAGAGAGACTGGCAGAGAGCCAACTGAACGTGCATTTCATACGTAGAGCCAGAACTTCTGAAGAGGCCCTTAGAGACTAATGAATTTAGGTCTTCCTGCCCTACCTGCTTGACATCTGATTCAAATGGTCTGAGGACCACGTGCATTGTAAAAATGTTTTCTTTCATTAGAATCATAACCTGGAAAGAGCGCTGGATTGGATCTTCAGCCACCCTGAGTTTGAAGAGGACAGTGACTTTGTGATCGAGATGGAAAATAATGCCAATGCAAACATTATTTCTGAGGCCAAGCCTGAAGGACCTAGAGTCAAAGATGGGTCTGGAAGTAAGTTCTCGCCTCAGAGGCTGTCTGAGCGTCACCACTGCACACTCAGCTCATGCCTTTCCCTCCCAGCACTACATCCAAACTCTGACCATCCTTCAGAACGAGCACGGATCCCACCTTCCCGTAACTGGTGCCTTTCCTCTGGCACAGGCCATGGCCATCTGCTAATGTCTTGGACTCAGTCTGATAAGGTCTTGGGCCCAGCAGTGTGGCTGCTTAAGTTTAGTGTCAGCTTTGACTTTATTCCTCTGTAAAATTTCTTTGTGGGCCGTGGGAGCTTTTGTCAAAAAGAAAGCATTCATTTTTGTGGTGGTTTTTTGAACAGTAGAACAGCCGTCTCTTGTCCTTGACCATATGTAGCACTATTACTAATACCACCTGCTGAGAACTTCCTGAAGGACTGTTTCAGGATGACCAGGACCCATGCTGTAGCCATTATTCTGTCTTTTAATAGCAAACGCTACATATGTCACTGTATGCCAGGCACTGTTCCAAGCCCTTTGCATGTAACACTCATTGAGTCCTCACCTCAGCTGATTTTACCGGTGAGAATGTAGAGGCACAGAGAGATTAAGTATGTGGCCCAAGGTCACACAGCTCTAGGAGGTGGAGCCAATGTTCACATCAGAATCCCTGTTTGTCACCATTGTGCTGCCCCACCTCTGGGGCTGTCATGGCCTGCAGAGTAATGTCCAGGCTCTTGAGCCTGGCAGTCAGCACTGCCTCCAGGCAGGGCCCAGGCTGCCTCATGCTCCTTATCAGCCTCTGAATACCTGTGGCGACTGGGAGGCCTGGTCCAGTGGCCACGCCACTGGCCTACTCAGCTGTCACCACCTCTCTTCTCACTTACATGCAGGCCGGGGCTCAGGTTAATCCGTATTTGTGAAATGCCCTTCTCTCCCATCGCTGCACCTTCAAATTCTTAACCGTTATTTGGTGCTCGGCCACCGATTCCATTTCTCTGGACTGCACTCCCAGATCCTGGTCATCACAGCTTGTGCTCACCTTTATGCTAGTAACCACACCAGTGTTAACCAAGCTTCCATTTGTGCCATAGTTAATCCTCAGAGTAACCTTATGAGGGAGACACCGTTATCCTCATTTCACAGGTGGAGAAGCTGAGAGAAGGTTGGGAAGCTTGTCGAGGTCACGTCGCTGGTGAGGGAGTTCCAGTGCAGGCAGTCTGCTCCAGAGCCCATGCCCGTGGCCACTGGGTGGTTAGTTATTCTGTTATTAGAGGGATCAAACTGATCTTGCAATAAAATTATTTATGTAGATTATCTATGCTTACCACTTGATTGGGAGGTAGTAGAGGGCAAAGGGCATTTTACTTTTATAAAGCACCTGGTATCTAGTACGTAGAAAACACTGTGTAAAATAATAATTGGGTTTAAATTCACACGAGCAGCATTGATTCTTGTAATCATATAGTTGCATATCTAGTCAATGACGTTCTGACCACACCCAACATCTATGTTTTGATCTAGAACTAGAGAGAGAGGGATGGGAGGGAAACTTTTTCCTCTTCTTTTTTAAAATATATAATAGGAATTTCATCACTGAAATTATTTTAATCTCAACTGGATAAGAAAGGATGATGTAGTTCTCTCAGCTTCCTAGAGTCATATTACTTTTCATAAATCAATAGCTTGCCTAAAATATTAAAAGCTGTAATGGACCGGTTACTCAATAATTCACGAGCAGGATTTATTACATGTTACGTGTACGTCGCTTCTCTCTCCATTGATTTTCTATAATAGACTTTTCTTTGGAGATGATGAGTTCTTCTCGCAGAAGAAACAAACCACAAAATGGGGCTGTTGTAACGGTGCCAAGGTATTTGGCTGCAGCGGGAGGGAGGGTCTGATCCGAAGGGTTTCCTTTCTTCTGATGACGCTTGAAGGCACCAGCCCCTCTCTTGCAGATGGTCAGTGATGGTAAAGAGCCGCTGTTGCAGGAAAAGGTTGAATTAAAACTGACAGACACTTACAGCAACGATACAGGAAGGAACTGTTAATTGCCAGCGAGAACTCAGGTGCCTCAATGTGTAAAATGCTGAGTTCCAGGGAAACAGTTTTTTCCAAACTCTTTTATACTTTTTTTCTTCGGTTCAGTATCAGCTGCACAGTTGCAGTTACAACAAAGGGTAGAAAGAGCTAATGATTATATTATTATCTTATAATAATAATTTTATTGTATTATTATATGATTGTTGTATCAAGAAACCAGGGTGCTGGTATCTGTTCCCTAGTGTTTTTCAAGGTCATTTCAGCTCAGTGTCAAGTTTATTCTAACCTTTGGAGGAGGAGTTCCTTCTGCAGCTGCCTGCTGCTTTCTCAGGATCACTGAGAAGTTTAAGACTGATTGATTCCTCCTTCCTCACCCACACCGTCTTTCTCAGGACTTAACCGTACCTCATGCTGAGCTACAGACATTCCTGGCACTGCTTGGTTTTGAGGTTTATCTAGGACACCCACCTTCCTGATGCTTTCAAGCACCCTTTAAGCACTGTGGGTCAGACTCGGGGGATTCTGAGTGAGGGTGGGGAAGGAGTGCTGTGAGACACACTTCCAGAAATCACACACAGGATAGCAGGGTAGGAAGGCAGTTGTAGGTGAAAAATCTAATTATGAAGAAGCAGAAGCAGAAACCACCCTAACTCACTCACTGTGTCTTAAGTCTCATTAAGGAACAGATTTTTTAAAAAGCAAGCTCCCCCAGCACTGTGCTTGGCCCATGGTAGGTGATCAGCAGCTAAGTGACTAACTGAAGAGTTCGAGGGATGCCAGGAGGCAGCAAGCTCGGGGTGGCTTTCCCACTGCCCGCACTAAGTGCTGTCTACCGGATCGCCAGTAACCGTTGGCAGTAACCGCCGTTGGGTTACAGTGCGTGAGCCAGAAGAAAGGGAAGAGGACCCGCTGTGCTTTGCTGCGGGTGTATTCGCACCGGAACTCACATGTCAGTCATTGCTTTCCTTCTCCTTCATAAAAAAATTAGCATTCATGGGCCAGGCGAGGTGGCTCCTGCCTGTAATCCTAGCACTCTGGGAGGCCGAGGCCGGTGGATTGTCTGAGCTCCCAGGTTTGAGACCAGCCTGAGCCAGAGCAAGAGCCGGTCTCTAAAAATAGCCGGGTGTTGTGGTGGGCGCCTGTAGTCCCATCTACTTGGGAGGCTGAGGCAAGAGAATCACTTAAGCCCAAGATTAGGTTGCTGTGAGCTATGACGTTACGGCACTCTACCTAGTGGGACAGAGTGAAACTCTGTCTCAAAAAAAAAAATAGCATTTATATTGTCTGCCTTTCTTACAATTAAAGGGGCATGTGTTAATTTTAGCAGCTTGAGAAAATATGAATGAAAAGAGGAAATTAAAAATTATAAATTTACTACCTAGCATGACCACAAAATAATGTTTTGTTTATATTCTTCAGGCTTTTTAATGCAAATATATACAAATGACTATAACTATATTGGTTTATAAAATATAACATTCTATTCTATACATAGTATTTTATAATGTACTTTTCCCCTTTGGGTCTACTGTATATATATGTGAATAGATATCATTGCACATATATTAATTGTATTTTATTGTAAACATGTCCAAAACTTGTATACCTAATTTGTTAGGCCAGTTAGGTGTCTTCTCCCATCCAAGTACTAACCAGGCCCGACCCTGCTTAGCTTCTGAGATCAGACAGGATTGGGCACGGTCAGGGTGGTATGGCAGTAGATGGGTTTGGTATCTTCTAAACAAAAGACTAGAGTGTTACAGGAAGAGTTTCAGATAATGAAAGTATTTCCACATGCAGAAGATGGCAGCAATGATTTTTACATGATGAGTTTCTTAAAGGTTGAATTCGGTTCACAGAAGTACAACAATGCCTGATTTTTAACCCCTATCCGGGTAATAAACCCTGTACCTAATTAACTTCCGTCCCCTCCACCCTCCCTCCGTCCCTCCGTCCCTTCCTTTCTTCCTTCTTTCCATGTTGTTATGAATAGTCCTGAGCCCTGTTAGGTTATTTCTTTATTTTATTTTATTTTATTTTTTATTTCTGTATTTTTTTAAAATGCAGATTATCATTGTAGGGCCCCCCAGAAACAAAGTGCTGCTGGGGCACACCCTCGCCGCCCTGTGACATCTGTGACGTCCTGTTTCCCGCTCTCCCCAGCAGGGCTGTTGGGTTGAACATGTTTCACATTTTTTTGTGTCTTTATTACCCACTTGTTTTTCTTCTGTGTTAATGGCTTCCTCATTTCTGTTGGCCATTTTCCTGTTTTTATTGCGATTGCCAGCTGTTTCTTATTGATTTGTGTGAGAGTTTCCTGCACTGTAGGCTAGTTTGGGAACCCGATAGTTTTACGGCATTGAGTTTTTCCCACCAGAAACATGCCATGCTGCCTGTCTACTTCACCCTCCCACTCTCTGCAAAGCTACGGTGTTTTCTTCATAAACATGCTCTGCCTTTCTGGTCTAGTTATGTCTCAGAATCACATTTTCTGTGTTATTTATGAAAAAGAATTTCCCCATTGCACATTCTAAATTATTACTGCTGAATTTTGTAAAGTTACAGATCTTGTAATTGGCCATTCTGTGGGGGTTTGGTTGGAAGTACATTACATTTTTGCAGGTTAACCTGGGATATGTGTTCTCTTTAAGTTGGCTGTTTAATTTCCCAAGCCTTTTTTTTGGTTGGTAAATTGGTTGAGATATTTGACTTAGGGATATTGAGTATGATTAAATGTTAAGAGTCATTGCTGTTTAGGAGCCCAAACAAGCAGAAGCAACCTTAGGTTTTGGTGTTCTGTTGTACATGACAGGAGATCTGACACAAACTTGTCTAAGCAAAGAGGGAAGGATTGTCTCATGAAAGCTGGCAGGTCCCCAGGGGACCTGGGGCCTGGACTTCAGACTCAAACCTTTTTATCTGGATGGGCCCATGGGGGTTGGTTCCAGTCCCGGGCAGGCTCTTCCTATTGGGCAGAAGATGGTGGCCAGT